TGAAGGTGAACATAAAACAAATGTTCTCCATAAGATTGACAAAATCCTCTCATCTAAAGCTTATGGGACACAAGAAGGCAAGAAGGCCAACACCAAAACAAGAATCACACAAAGCATCAGCTCAGAACACTGTAAAAGGATGGGGTGTAGAGGGAGTTTCTGCAATCAGTAGCTCCCTTTTTCTTGGCAAAGATGCCTCCAATGAGAGGAACGATGGGCTTCCTCTTCTGCAGCTTTCTCTGTCCTCTTCCACCCAAGTCATGCTCCATCCTCCCAAGGCTAAGCGCTTGAGCCAGAGTCGGTAAGTACTCGCTCTCCCGGATGTTATCCTCTCGCCATCGATCACTTCTAACTTTACAGGGCTGGTCTTCGATCGCCAGGTTGCTCGGTTCTGCCTCAACTGCTTCGATCTCTCTCAGTTTGGACATGCTCTTCTGGAGCTGGAGACAGAGGCTCGCCACTGCTAGCTTTGTCTCAGACTGCCTCTCCTTCAGCAGCTTCAGCTCGCACTTTGTCTCGTGTAGTTCGTGCTCCAACTTCTTGAGCGCGTTGAGAGATACGAGCTCGTCATCTCTTTCATGAATGAAACGGGCGGTGGAAGACAAGGAGGGCGGCGAGGAATTTGCTGAAAGGAGAGGCTTCGGAGGTGGCAAAGAATAGATCGGGGAGCTTCTGATGATGTCGAGTTTGGCAGACGAGCTGGTCTTGTGAGAATTGACATTGCCTGTGAGGAAGCGTTCCCCGAAGATTTCAACAGCCTCCTTCACGGATCGAAATGGACTCGTGGTGTCCACCTCCGCGCGCTGGGAGACCATGGTGGCGGGAGCATAGCAGTGCGTAAGAACGCAAGACAATTATAGAGTGCAAGGAGGAGACAAGAGATTGCTTCAACGACATGTCGATGATGAGTTGGGTTTCTTGGCGTCCACTTCAAAGGCACACCAGTGGGCTACCAAGCATTGTTTCGAGGAGAAGTAAGATCTGGAGAGAAGATGACTCTTGAGCTAAAGCTTGCAAGAACACCTAATCTCAACGAGTAGAAAGCAGGACCAGTACCGAAGAACCAGAGTTGCAAAGGAAATCTGAAGATCACACATATCAGAGAGTACAGATAGAAGTAAGCATACGACATGGACAACTCGAGGACCCATATTTGATTGCTTCCACCAAATCTTTTTGGGCAAACAAAGGCAGGGAGACACGATGAAGTCCCTAAAGATAACTGCTAAAGAATGTGGATTAGCTTTTGGCCTTTAGATGGCTAAACAATGCATTAAATGAAGCCTTTCAAACTGCTCGACGAAATGCTTTCATGCTTTATAGCACTTGGACCAAACCATTACCCTCCACTCCACTTAATGGCCGCGCTCCCGCTTTGCTTTGGTTTGGCTTCATTGCCCAAACGGCTACTTCTGCCCCCTGCCGGGTCCCGCCATCACCAAACGCACCACCCATGAACGCCATTAATCCCCCGCTCTCACATGCACCGATTATGGCTAATGGTGGCGCCTGTCAACAGCACAAGGAGGTTTCAGGGAGAGTAGAGAGCAAGCAATGGATGATTTCAGCTTTCCCACCATCACAGCGGATCAAGACTCGCTCCGCCAGCTCCCCTTCCCCCACTTTGCCGCATCCCCCCTGTGGTTCTTGTCCTCAGTCGTCGATTGCCGGAAAAGCTCCTCGTCCGCCGGAGAAGCATCGCTGGATGCTGACGTGATGAGAGGGGATCTCGAGGCGGATAGCGCCGGCGGTCGGCTTGATGAGGAGAAGATGGACTTGCTGTGGGAGGATTTCAATGAAGAGCTTGCAAGGGTGTCGTGTGACCGGAAAAGGATGGCCAAGGAGGGGAGCTCGAGTGCGTCAGAGCAACACTGCGTGCGTGCATTGAAAGACGCAAATAGCGGCGGTCTGATTCATCGTAGATCGCCAAGTCTGATACTGATGGTGAAGGTGCTAAAGAAGCTGTTCTTGGTTCAGCGAGTTGTGTCCTCCAAGAAGCAGTCACTGTGCTCAGCATGAGGTTCATCACTCGAGAGGAAGCACACCAGTCCAAGTGAAGACAGAAGGTGAGATGTCTGTAATCCATGTTTCTAATCTTATACTCTGGTGGTTGATCTTGAAGGAGTACGATGAACTATGCATCTGTGACGAATTGCTAGCTTGTAAGAGAGAATTCCTTCCATGCTACTCTTCCCTGAGTTGTATGTAATCCATGTTGTCTGGAGTAGTATTAGCTCTCACTTTTTTCCCTTCTGTTCTTGCAAAGGACGACTGTACAAAGCAATAAGGACATCCAACTACCTAATGAATGAAACATAATATGCCCTTGGACTGTTGTTAGATTCAACATCAAACCAATCTTGTTTGTCTTGATAGGTAGGAATTAGGTTTCTTTAGTTGAGAGGGAGTTGATATTCCAATTTACCTCCCTAATCCACTTGTGCTACTGAATTCACACTAAGATACTGGTTAGGTGGATGACACCATCATGCTTTTTCTCTTGATTCATAAAGTTAGTAATATTTGTTTAAGCCTGACAGCCAAAAACTTCCAACATATTTGCTAAGGGAAGCATTTTAAAGAAAGAATTTACCCAAACAATCAAGACTCTGAGAAGAGGAGAACCACAGAAGGGAAGCAAAAAAAAGCTAGTATTCTAGATTGTTTATAGAATGAAAAAGACTGTGTTTATAGTATTCTAGATTGTTTATAGAATGAAAAAAAAGCTAGTATTCTAGATTGTTTATAGAATGAAAAAGCTAGTAAGTGGCCTTCAAAGAACTATAAGCTTGAAAAGAATAAGAAGTGTCACAATTATTGCAGGATGTAAAAATATTCAAGGTGCATCACAGAAGAACCAAATCAGGTACATCTTGTTTTGGTGGTGTAAGATCTAACAGGTTGGCAATTTACATGCATGTTCCAACAACATTAATATTCGGATTTTTTGGGTCTACACAACATGATTAACAGTGTCCAGCATCATTCAATGTATAGAAGGGTAAGAGACTCAAAAACCTATATAAATAAAGTTCATCTGTGCTCTCCAACAATTATTTCTGTATACCATGAAATTACTATGACAAACTACACATAGTTTAAACAGTTGTTTTATGGGCATGCAAAGATGACATACATGTCATTGCAATTTACAATTTACTGGATGCAGCAAGATACTTGGTATGTCGTCCCTGAGCTAGTAGCTTTCCAGTCCTCTTGTTCCTAAATTCAACTGAGGCAACTGCTACTGCCTTTCCAGCATGCAAAAGCTTGCTTTCCATCTCGATTTCTTCCTGGAAAAACAACCACCATACACTTACAGAGTACTTTACAGTTGGAAGCTGTACATACAAGACTATACAAATGAATTTACTCATTGCTCAAGAGAGGAGAAAGAGAGAGACAGAGTAGTCATTTTCTCCTGCAATCCCCTAATAAGAACCATGATCCATAGAATCACAGAAAGCTGATCATCAAAAGGAAAAAAAAGAAAGAGTTCTGTAATGATAACCTCCTCATCAGGCCTTTTTTTAATTATGCATAACAGAAATTTTCTAAGAACAATCTAAGGCAAAAAGTTTATAAAGAACAAGGCTTTTTTTTATTTACTCATAGGAATGACAACAGTAGTGACAATTTGTAGGAAGGCAAACCGAGACATCATGACCTAAAGCATAAGGAAAAAAAATCACTCTCATTCACTACATACGGAATAAGGTTTCATATGTGTCAATAGAAAATGAAACCATGATAGCACCAATTACGAAGCCTTATCGTCGTACCCACACAATTCGTCACTCCACGAGTATTCAAGATGCATAAATATATATACAAAATATGTAGCGACTAAGAATGATAAATTAATTAATAGCAATCAACAAAAGCTGAAAACATGAGACGTGCAAATTCGGTATGAAGTAGACCATTTTGGACTCTTTATTGTGCAACCGTTCAGAGCTTGTGAAGTCTATGGTTGTAATTTGCATTGTCTATAAAGTGTTTGCTGAAATGGTTGCTTGTGGATCCTGAGTGAAATATTTTCTCTAACTCGTTTTCTCTTTTCTAAATTCTAAGGGACCATAGAACGTTTCGGAGACGCTGACATTTGTGGATGGACACACAAGGGTGCTGCACAGTTTAGACAAAACTAACTAAGTTCATGATATTCTACAAGAAGAATAAGTTTTACATACCTAAATTTCTTCATAACCAATACCAATTATCAGGTAATATCTCTTATGCTGCAAGATTTCCATGGCATTCCACCATGAAACGAATGCTTCCTTTGCAACTCAGCTCTGACAGGAGAATATGACTTGCTCCTTCAGTTACAAAAGGGAAGTGTTGGACTAAATTTTACATCAAAGCCACCATGTGTCATAGAAAGCCTTAAAGAAATTGGGGTGTAAACCCCCTTCAATCTCTTCCAAATGCAAATACTATTGTTTGTCATCCACCCTTTTCTATTACCACTTTTTCATCTAGAATAAGTTCATCTATGCTTTCTTTTGACTACATATTCTATCTATTTTCTGGAAAAAATAAGTTTCAAACAAGGCTATAAATCCAAATTTATCTATTTGCTGTCCTCTTTCATGCTTGAACAACTTCAGGTTTTAATTAAAAGGAAAAGTTGATTGATGATAAGTACGAAAGTGTTTAAAAGCCTTGCTTACAAGAAAGAACTTGGCACGATGAAACGGAAATCGATCTTGATTTTATAGATAGATGACACTTTGCCGAATGCATATACTTACACCAGTAAAGGCGGGATCCAAGTAAGAGACGTTGATGTCCAGCGAAACCCCAGTGGTCGGAAGTCCAGAGCTAATTATGGCCGCAGATCCAACCACATCCACCAGCGTCGCCACGACGCCACCATGGAGGACGTTGCCAGAGCTCTGCAGATGAGCGAAGAAACAAAGTTAGATGGATATACTCGAAGGAGGAAAACAGGGAAGTGGGAGGTGATGGCTCTCCTACGCTAAGGCGAGGAGGAACGGCATAGGAGCATAGGACGCGGCCGGGCTCAAAGAGATCGAGGCGGAGGCCGTTGAGGACGAGGACGTCGAAGAACCGCGCCGGGAGGGCGGCAACGGCGTTTCCGGCGGACTCGGTTAGGTATTTCTTCACCGCCTCTGGATCCATCATATCCTGATCGGTGCGGCAGCCCCGGTGGCCGGTGGACGGTGGACGGTGGTCGGCGCACGGCGGAGAGGGATACGATGTTCGAAAGATCTTCTGTTTGGGTGTAGGATTAGAACGCCAATTAATCCCCTACACGAAAACTATTTTATCCAATATGACTTACCAACACTTCGTACCTGCCTTATGATTGGAGGATCATGAACTCACAGTTGGGCCCACAAAAGGGCAGAAATTGAAGGCGCTGATATCGTGGGACCAAAAAGAAGCAGACAACAAACACATGGCCTTTCTGGCTGACGCCGCGGCAGCTCCGCCACCCACTCCGACGCCGGCGCCGTTGCTGCGCTGAAAAAAGTGCCATCTTTCGCCCCAGATTCATAATTTTCATCATGTTATTAAAAATAAAAATGAATACACATGAAGAGATGTATGTGAGAACCTTTAAAATGCTAATATTACCTTTTACAATGCAAAACAAATGGAAAAAAGCTGTATTTTTTGTACATACATGGCTGTGCTGATCCACTGTAGTTTACATTATCATAGAACAAGAAGACTGAAAACTAGCTCTTCCATTGCAGTAGAATGCATGGTTTCCACCAGGAATCAAAGAGTTGCATTCCTGAAGATGTCCAGCATCTCATTCCTTCCTCTGATGGCCTCCTCGAACACCTCATCCACTACTGTGCCGAGCCTCTCGATCCCCTCCTTCAGCTCAAATGACCTTGTTCTCAACTTCTCCAGACCACTGAGGAAACTATGGCTGTTCTTCTCCGCCGCCTGTAACTCCTCGACTGCCTCGTTCACCATCTCATGCTCGACCAGAGCAACTTCCCGACCGATGCCGAGGCTCGAAATCCGTGTCAGCATCTCCATGCACTGCTGTAGCTCAGGGATCGATGAAGTCAGCTCCTTGTCTTCCATATTAACCGGAACAGGAGAAATCATTGCTGAAATCATAAACCATGACAAGACTGTCACAGTGGTTTTAGCAGCAAACATCACGATTGCCATGTTCTTGTCATCTCTTCCATTTCCTCCGAGCAAAATTCCACCTTTAGCTAGTCCTAATCTTTCCTTCTCTATACTGAAATCTAAAATTTCCTCATGGGCTTTCTGTAATCTTTCCAATCCGAACTCGTTGTCTTCGCTTAGTTTATGGACTGCGAGCTTTAAAGCCATGCGAGACCGGTTGATCCCGGAAAGGGCAGACTTCATTGAGTTGCAGAAATCTAATAGAGACGCAGACTCTTGCATGTACTGATCAAACCAGTCTTCGGCTTCGCACGAGATCGGCAACTCAGATTTCTTCAGCAGGGCAAGGAGTCTCACCTGCATCCTCTTCAAGACGCTCATCGCTTCGACGAACCACCTGAGGGAGATGGAGTCCTTCGCCAGCGACAGCTCGAGCCCCTTGAGGTCCTCGGTGAGGGAAGTGCAGAAGGTAGAGGCATCCTCTGTCAAAGGGGTAGAGCTGAGCCCCTGACACCTTAAGCATGGTAGAGCCGATCCTTCCATTTCCTCGGAGATTGTCCAATTCCTGTTCACCCAAGAAGCGTAAGGCAACTCTCGTTGTTCCCTTGCATGATTGTGAACTGCTACACTCGCATTTACCTGTTTTATCTCGATGAACGAGGAGAAGGAACAGTCAGGATACGTGAAGCTCAAGAGCTTCGAAGTGAAGCAAACAGAAGAGTAGGAAGAAGAGTCACGCAAGAGGGGAACCCACTATTAGCTTCCTTCAATTGGCCACAACAGGCTTCAAAAATATCTGCCAATAACACTTCTCCAAATCAGTATATAAAAGAAAAATAAAATCCAACTGCGAAGACTGGAAATAAATAATTATTCTAGATAAGTTCTCGATCAAATCTAGGTAACGTGAAAGATGATGCATCGTTGACTTGGGAAAAAAATTACGTGTAGATCATCTGGCAGTCAAAAGTCAATTCAAAACTTTGTGTTTGAGAGCTTATCCTTGACCCGACTTCTGATTATGAATATTTCTTGTCGTTGGCGGAGCACAAGAAACAATCTTTTATGATCTAAAATACAAGTCATGTACTTTAATTGGGAATAAGCAGTGCTTTGTAGCAAGGAATCAATATGTATTGATTAATATTTGCTAGTCCAATCAAGATCAGTATGGAAACATATAGTTCGAGATATAACTTGATGCATTGAGTCTCATAAGTTATCAAAATTAGTACCTGATTGATATTTAAATCTTATCCTTCTTATGCAAGAAAGGAGGGGCAGCTGCACGCAAGAACTGGTTCTGATTGAGATAAGAACCCATTAAAACAAATGAATGAGAAGAAAAAGACATTGTTGAAAGAATACATGCATTCTGTTCCGTTCGTGGAAGAGAAGCAAACTCTATATAACATGGTTGACCCAGTTTCCTTGGTTCATCTTCTTCTTCCTATAAGAAAACAGATGATAGATGTGATCACAAGGCCAGTGGGAAGGACAAGAAATATTCTTCTTGGAATTGAAGGAAAACAGCTACAAAAAATATGATACAAGGAAGTCATATGAGAGTTAGGAGATTTCTTGCATACACAAAGAAAAGGAACATGCCAAAGTTGCAAGCTGCAATGGCCTAAAGTTACCAATGATAACAAAGAGAAATATGTAATTTATATAGTAAGGAGGTGATAATATTAGCACCTGATGCGACATCCAATTTAAAGTGAAAATTATGCAAGACGGTTGATCAGATGAACAATATATATGTGTTGTACAGCAGCATTCAGCCTCCAGGTTTGCTGATCTGGGATCTTTCCCCCCCTGATACACCAACAATAAAAAAGATAAGAATTGGTAAATGGAAAAAGGAAAACACTATCGCAGCTTAAGGGATAGAATATATAAAGAACCTGAGGTAGGGGAGATATTAACAAAAGTTTTAAGTTAAATGTTAGTATAAACTCATGTTAAGGAAATCTGTGGTATATGTATTTACTGCATTCACTAATTTTGTACAGTCACTTGTCACAAGGTGATCTCAGACATCTTTCACATAAGCAAACACATGCTGTGCCACGGTATAAAATGTGTTTCCAGGGTTTCAACAGCAGTGATAGACCAAAGACAACCATGTTGACAGCAACTCAAAATGACCTTCAGGCAATATCTTCTCGAGATTGATGCAGAAACATGAGAGCAAAAATTGAATAACCTTTTTATGTGTTTAGTTAATGCTGTACACAATCAGAATTGCTCCAGAAATATTCAGTGGTTAGTACTCTCATTGAAATTTTATTTTGGTATGTATCACCAGAACAAACAGCATCTATAGTTGATGGCTAACATCATTACCATCCAACCAATGGACCGATCAGTGAATTCTGTGCATCTGTTTAGTTGCCCTTGAAAACTGTTTGATTGGGTGTTTCATCAAGTTTGAATGCATGAACTTATTGGATCACAAACTCCATCCCTAATTCTCAAAATTATAAACCTTATTGAAAACTCCACTCAGTTCAATTTTCCAAAGTGGACGGAAAAAATCATATAGGTTCCACTGAAGTTGGATGATTTTAAGCCTTGGTTGAAATCCTGTGTAATACAGCCAAGCAGCTCTAGTTATGATAGCTTATGTCCCTCCACTGTCATTTTTAATTCTGATTCCCTTGTAAGCTTGCAGCGCCTCTGACAAAAAAGTACCCAACTCTTCAAATGTTGGAACCAAACCAGTTGGCAAAATATTGGAAGCAGTAGTCTGAAGTCGTTCTAAAGTTTCCTTATGTATTGCTCGCTTCTCATCCAATCTCTGTTTCATTAGGTCCAATGCCATCAAGGAATCATCATGGTGCTTCAGACCATCATTAATGTCGGACACAATCTCTAAATGGTCTATCTGCATAGCCTGCCAAGATTTTAGTTTTCTATCATAAATTTGTGACAGGTGCTCTTCTTCGAGTCGTTGGTGCTGTTCCTCATCTTGAATCTCCCATACCATGTGGACAATTTCCGTAAAACCACGCATTGTTTCAATAACTTTTTCTCCTGAAACACACTTAATTGCATGGTACCAATCATTAGATATGACAAATACTGATGGAGCACCAATTCTAGTTGGGGACAAAGGAGCAGGTCCATCAGGTGTTAGCTCCTGTTCTTGAGGAAGCCATTTCATTTGCCATCCATTGAGGGCTTCAATGAATGATTTCTGGATGCTGATCCAGTCATGAAAACAATTGCACCAGTTTAGGAGTTCCAGCTCCAATTCCTTTGTTACCTTAACAGCAGACTTCCATTGGCTTGTGGTTTTCATCACTAAGCTATGTCTTTTGCAATCAACTAGAGCTTGCAACTGCTTTTGATGGCAATCCAGCAAAGATGTCCACATTCTTATAAATCTGCAGTGAGGATAATGCAACTATTGAGCATGTACTACAACTAGACAAGACTACTTGAGAGTCATCTATAGTCAATCAAGTTGATAAACCAAGAATGTATTTCTACTTATTCCCTGTATAGAAATCGCTATGAAAAATGCCATCGTATAACTTCAAGCACTGGTACATTATAGATTTGTTTTCCTTCTCCTCTCTTTTCCTTCTGATCATTGGCAAGGTGATCAATATAACAAGTATAACATTTGCATACCAAAACTAACTAGCATAAAAGGCATAGAGAATGTACAAATATAGAACATATAGGGGCAAGGAACGACTTTGAATATTCCATAGACTAATCATTGTGCCAATTGCAGATCATAGCATAAGAAAATCTTTGGTTTCTGGTTCCTATCATACTAGTCTCACTTTAGAAGAAACACTAAAGTCAAACTTTCATTATATAAAACACTTCAATTTTAAAGAAAGAGTGGTTGGTTTCTTAATTATTTCCTAATTTAATTTTTAAACCAACAAATTGGTGTTGTCAATTAACTATATGCTAATTGACAATGATTTGATAAAATAATCGTAATTAATAAATTAACTATTGATCTTAAAGTATATGTTGATGTAGTCCTCTACATCAACATATAAAATGTTCATATCAGAAGACTAAATTTGTACTAGGGCCACCAACTGACTTTTAGGATTTAAGCAGTTCAGAAATCACATGTTACCAAAAATCCAATCCATCAGATCTCTGTATATCAATAACTTAATTTGAAAAGCATCATCATCAAATGTAAGCACATAAAAGGATCAAGAAAAAAGAGTAACATTTTAATGCAAGCAAACTATGCACTATATGAAAAACTTCAAACTTTCATACCCTTGGATTAGTTCGATAAGTTGGGGCTGCAACTCCTCACCCCTTATCTCATGAATCCTGCTTGAGAAAGCACCAACCGATTTGATGATGATGCTTATTTTTGTGCGCAGCTTTCTTACTGATGCCCAAGTCGAATCAATTTTGTAGTTCTCTGCCCCTCTATCAACTAAATCCTTCAACTGCTTGTACTTCTTGTCATAGCTCACCCGTAGTTTCTCTTCATCCTAAATAAACCACCTAAGCAATTTAACATAAATGTTGACCCCCACAAAGCATCAAACTATACAGAACCAATCATGATCCTATATTTTTTACTGTCATTCAATTTGTTGAAGGAAAAAAAAGATTGACAAAAGATTATGGGTCATCATTACCACAAGAGACAAGCATATAATATAGTTTAAGTATTCGCCCCTGAAGTTAAGGTTCAGTATACTAATTATTTACATGTTAATATTGGTAAAGGTATAAGTCTGAGTATTACCAATTACTCAAAAATCAAATGATTTTCACACAGGACTTACTGGTACAAGTTAAGCTTAGAATATTTCCAGCGACACAATAAATTGAATATGTTAAATTAGCATGAAATTTTGAGATTATAAGCATGATTCTGAATAATCTACTTCCACATGAGTGTCCAGTAATTAACATTTATCTGCCACAGTCTCACAGCATATCTGTGTAATTACATGAGCACCATGAAATTATCTTTTTTTTTCTAATTCCAGTTTCCTAAGTGTAAAGTTTGATCCATAATCTTCTTTTTTTATTCTACATCAACCATGGAAAATGGGTTCCAATAGAGCTCCTGTATTCACATAACATATATTTGTAATTGCATCTATACATGATAATTATAGCTTGCTCCCAATGTCAAAAGGACTGTGTGTGTGTGTGTTTTTTTTTTGGGGGTGGGGGGAGATAGAGAGAGAGCAACTAGCATGTGTTCTCGTTTGGCCACTATATCGAATAAGTACTTCATTACTCATCATTGAGAGACCAGCTGGATACATTTTCCAAAGTTCTCAAAAACACAAGAGAGAATAACCACTCTCTCATAATTTAGATCAAGGATACAAGTCTCAGTCCGAGACCTGTACAAACTGCCCCTGGCTTAACTGGGGTCCAAACATGGTATGCCGATGTACGGTGTACTGGTCAGCACAGATTAAAGAGATAAAGGGAGAGAAGAAGGGAGGAGGAGGAGAGGAAAGGAGAGGGACAGGGACAGGGAGAAGGAGGCTGATGAGTCAGGAGGCCTACTGTTGACATTAAATATTATAAAAAGGTTCAGTTTTGGACCAGATGGGGCCATTTGAAGGAGGAGAAGGAGAAGGAGAGGCTTAGAAGAAGAGAGGAGGTTGAGGAGATGGAAGGCCTGAAGTTGTCTTCACTCTTCAAAACATTATATATATATGTGTGTGTGTGTGTGTGTGTGTGTGTGTGTGTGTGTGTGTGTGTTGTGTGTGTGTGTATACATACATATATGTATATATATACATATACATAACTCCATTGCTAAAAGTTATAAATAAATCGGACGATTATTAGGATAGCACTTCTTGAAGATTTCAACTGACTGTACATCTCATAATTTCTACATCTTTGGCTGTAGCTAATCTTTCTTTCTACTGAATTAAGTCAAATTACAAGCGTAAGCTATCTGATTCTTGTCCTGTCCAATCCTTTTCCTTAACTCTGGTTTTTTCCTAGGTGATATGTAAAATTCTCACGATCATAGTAAAATATGGAATCTCTGGTCCAGCCCCCACATGAATCACTTTGTCAAACATTTTTAGAAATATTTGATGACAAACTTCAGATATCTTCCAAGATGATGACATTAGAAATGCATTTTTTTTTCTTTTGAGGTGTCAAGTACAGTTCTTACCTCCCTTAAGATTTTGCATTCTAACAATACTTTAATGTAATTTCCATTTATGGTTGATGGTGCTTTTCTATCTGTTTGTCTCTATTAACTAAGGCTGTTTTGTCATCAAAGATGCCTAGGCTCGAAAATGTTATTTCACGCTTTCTAGTTTCTTGGTTAGGCATAGATGTAGCCCTAGTTTGCAGCCATTTGGGCTTTCCTGTTATTTTGTGATGTTGACTGCTCTTCTGTGATATGTTTTTCTAATGTGTATTAGTTGGTTCATGCAATGCAGCTATGCAAAATTGATTCTGAGGGAAAGGCTAGAAAAGTTGTGGGATGTTCATGTGTGGTCGTCAAGGTACTGTAATCAATCGGAAAATAGCAGTATACTTGTCATTTCTTTATCATCTTTGGTCATGATACAATCTGTTAATGTTCTTCGACAGGATTATGGTGAGGAATCAGAGGGCCTTCATATAGTTCAGGAGTATGTTAAATCCCACTGAGTTTTGATAAATTGTTACTTTTATGGATTTCAAGAGACAGATTGCTGGTGCAGTGTAGAAACATGGAGCTCATAAAATTTGAACTTCCTAGCGTTTGTGGTAACCATTTCTACTTCTTGTGCTTTAACATGATGTTTCTCTTTTCTGGTTAGTTAGCATGCTTGAGTTATTTCGACTGGATAATCCCTTTTGGTTGGCCATAGTCTTTTGTGCTGAGATGTGAATTCTGACTGCCTACTCCAGGGATTCTGGTTTTTTCAAATTCTTGTATATCCAAGTAGGAACGGCATGAATTTTCATCCTATCCATTCCCGAACTCGATTAATTATCTAGATCTCCAAACTCGTTCAAACTTGACTCAGACCAACTCGGGTGCCAATTCTCTTGCTAATAGTTATCACAAATTCAACTATAGGTATTACTTAAGTTCAATCAAGTTGGCAGGTATGGATGTTTGGAGAACTTGATCCACTGTCATGTAGGAATGATATCAGATAGAATACCTTGCAATCATATTCATTCCCAAACTTGATTTACAATTGAGATATACTTGAATTCATCTCTGATTTGACTCTGGTAGCTATTTTTCTTCCTGAAGCTGTTTCATATCTCGTTGTAGGTATCCTGGGTATCCCTTTCTTTAGCCTTCTTGTTGCCATCCTTCTTCCCAAAACGTGTTGAGAGTAGATAGATGTTCTTGACAATCCGCTTGTGATTGATGGATTTGCAGAGGTGGAAAACCTTGTATTTAGTCATTTAGGGTAGGTCATCTTTCAATAGTGTGCTTGAAATGAAATTGGCAGGCTGGTGCTGTTAGTCTTTCATAGAGTGCAATCAAGTTTGCCCATAGTGTTACTCTTTGAGCCACTTTTTAGTAGCTAACTTGATGATGTTAATTTGTCATCCAACTTTATTACAGACGTTTAGTATATGGATTTCAGGAGCATCTTCACATCTACCCGTAAAGGCCAGATTTTGATGGTAACATACATTACTTTGACAAGTTTTTTGGCTTAGAGCTTCTCAAGGAAATGTCAAACAAGCTAAAGTTTTTAGATGGATTGATGATGAAAAATAGTTTAATATGTATTCAGTTGTGTTTTAATTATAAGATGAAAGTTTCTACACCAATAAAGACATCATTATCAGCATCGTCAAGTAGCTCATGTTGTAAAAATTGATCAATAGCTTATATGAAAAATGGTCATGAAACTATATCCAATGAACATCTGACTTGTGAATTTTGATCCATAGCAAATTTTAGGAGGGAGATACCAAGTTAGCTTAGTTGATAAAAATGTGTCAAAATAATAAAAAAATCAGAATAATCCATACTTATAAGAATAAAGTAATATGTTCTTAAATTTTTTTTATTTATAATTTTCTAACATTAAAACCAGCATATTACCAAAAACAAATTAAAGAAAATAAATTAAATTAAATTAAATCCTGACACATTCATCCCCAACGAGGCGTCCTGTCAACGTTTGGGCCCCGCCGCCTCTAGTGGCGCTTTCAATCTCGAAGCTGAGATCGCATTTGGACCGTCCGATAACCGGACCCGCAACACCCTCTCTGCTTCCCGGTCTTCTTCCGTTCTCCTCCCCACGGGTAGGGTTTCGTTAGATCTGTCCGTCCGGAGCGGAAATCCCATTGGTTGCTAGCCCTCCTCGTCCGATCTCCACCGTTGTCCAACTTCCGCCGTAGATCGACGCATCTCAGTCGGTAATCTCTCCGCCCGCTACGGCATCCGGGCTCCAAAGTTTGCATCTTGGCGGCAGCCTTGAGGTTCGTTAGCTCGTGGATACATTGATGACATTGTTGAAGCACCGAAGGAGAAACGTTAGATTTGTATTTGTATATGAATCCCTCTTTTGTTTGGGGGGGGGGAATTTGATCTTTATTTCTCTTCCAATTTTGGGGCGAAGAGGCGATGAGGGGCAGAAGCACTGAATCCTCTGGGACGAGGAGGTGGAGGCTCTCTCATGCTCTCCTGGCAATTGCATTGATCTACTTGGTCTTTATTTCTTTTAAGTTCCACCATTTTCTTGAGATCGCCAATGCATTGAGCGGCGACGACAGCTTCTCCGGCCTCGACCGGCCAGTCAACGACCTTACCTCCCACCACCTCCACCTTGGCCATACGACTCCTGTCTTGGTCCACCATGATACCTTCCACCGGAAACTGGAGGACAGCCGGAACCTCCCTCCTGCCCTTCAAAAGGAGCAGCCTTCCCTCAGATTTGCACCGATTAAGCCTTTCCGGCGCTGGTTCGGTCGTAAATCTGGAGGTAACTTGACGCAGCTGGAGGCGATGGTCGACGAGGCATGGACGCTAGGCCAGAAGGCTTGGGATGATGTGGAGAGTTATGACCCTGTGAACAACAAGGATGAACTACCTGTCACAGGAGGAAAGCCTGAGTCTTGCCCTTCATCGCAGGCGAAGAGTTCGGCTGAAATGAGCTCTGATGGGGAGCTCCGCCTGTTTCTTCCATGTGGCCTCACCGCAGGCTCTTCGATTACAGTTGTTGGCAAGCCTCAGGAGGCCCATGAGGAGTATGTGTCCCAGCTGGCAAGGATGAGGCATGGGAATGGAACTGTCTGGGTCTCACAGTTCATGGTTGAACTTCAGGGATTGAGGGTGGTGGATGGGGAGGACCCACCAAAGATCCTGCATTTGAATCCAAGGCTCACAGGGGACTGGAGCAAGAGACCTATTCTTGAGCTTAATTCATGTTACAGGATGCAATGGGGCACAGCAATAAGGTGTGATGGCTTGCCTTCAGGAGATGATGATGACACAGGTATCAGATTTGACTATGCAAACACGCTTATCAATGTCTTTTAAACAAGTTTAACTCCTTCCAACTCCACAAAAATGTACTTAGTTTTATAGAGCAGAGAATCTGCATCTTCTTGAAACAATAGCTCTCGTGCTTTATTTTAAGATCCATCAGTATATTGAATAAGTAGTATTAGTTGCTTTGTGCCCTTGGTAAATCTATAATGGGTATCTTTTCTGCTCTTCACTGATACTTGGTTGTGTTCCCCATTTCTATCATACTATTTTGATCATTCAACCATTTATATGCCATTGAATATGATCTATGACTTAAAATTATGATATATTGGGTATGTATCTGCATATCTACATTCCTAATATATCTATCTATAGTTTTCTCTTTATCTCTCTCTCTCTCTATATATATAAGCATAAGTATTCTCATTCTCTTTTGCTCTCTTTCTATATATATAAGCAGAAGTTGATATATATATATATATATATATATATATATATATATATATATATATATATATATATATGTGTGTGTGTGTGTGTGTGTGTGTGTGTGTGTGTGTGTATTGCAAAGAAAAATTTTATAGACGAGAAAATGAGTCCTCAAATCTTACCAAGTGGATATAATATGCATAGATGTTTGTTGGGAGTTTGTTTGCTGAATGCACTCAGCTAACTCTTTTCATCTCTTCAATTCTTTATTGTAAATTACTTGTGATTATGCTTTTAAGATTTTAAAATTCTAAGGAACAAGAAAAACACTTGTATAAGTTGACCATTTCTTTTGTTTCTTGTCCTTTTTAAACATGTACATGATGATATTTCCTTATGTTTTCTTGTCACATCATTGTCGATAAGACTTATTAATTCTAGTTGGAACTACATTTGAGTCTTTTAGATGCTTGTTTTCAATGATATGTTGACCATGATAACAAGTCATTTCGAGCATGGTTCGTCTTTACTGACCCATACCGGTGTACCGATCAGTTGTCAATACAGTATGTACCTATATATCGACACATGGTACAGTGGAGTGTACCAACGGATTAATACATACCATCCATACCGATCCCTTATTGGACCGATACGTACCACCAATACCGGACGGTATGTCGTGGTACGACGAACCTTGATTTCAAGTATGACAATTAATGATATGTCGAGGCTTGCATAGTTGCATATATGTTTGACCTGTTTCAAATCCTTTTTTGGACAGTTGACGGGTTCAGAAAATGTGAGAAATGGGCTCGTAGCGATATGATAGACACAAAAGAATCTAAAACTACTTCATGGCTGAGGAGGTTTATAGGTCGCGCAAAGAAGCCAGAAATGACATGGTCTTTTCCATTTGTGGAAGGAAGACTGTTTGTCTTAACAATACAAGCTGGTGTTGAAGGTTATCATATTTTTGTTGGAGGGCGACATGTAGCTTCATTTCCATATCGACCGGTAAACAAGTTGGCAAGTTTGATTATTTCTGGCATGTTGAACATTATTATCTTGTTGTTGTTAAAGAGACTATTGTCAAGGAAATCATGTTACAAAATAGTTTCTTACTGAGTAGTTGATTGGTTCTTCAGGGATTCACTCTTGAAGATGCAACTGGATTCGCAATAAAAGGAGATGTTGATGTACACTCGGTGTATGCCACTTCGCTTCCCACGTCTCATCCCAGTATTTCACTTGATCGTGTCTTGGAAATGTCAGAGAATTGGAAGTCTCGTCCTTTGCCTGAAAGTCCAATTGATCTTTTTATTGGAATTATTTCTGCTTCAAATCATTTTGCTGAGCGCATGGCTATTAGAAAAACATGGATGCAATCTTCTCAAATCAAGTCATCTATTGTGGTGGCTCGCTTCTTTGTTGCACTGGTAAGTTTTTCTTTTAACAATTAACTAGAGGGTTTTAAATAACAAATTAGCCTGGGAATGACTTATTTATACATTCTGCTGCAAGAAATTTGAGATGAACTAAATCATGTAAGCCGAAGGTTCAGAAATTTACTTTGACCAAAATGATCAATTTGAAACTGAACTCAGAAAGCTCACTATGAAAATCAATCATGTGAGGCCTAGTAATCTAAATAAGATAATGACAAAGAATTCGTTTTAAAAAAATTACTGGTGATGATTGGTTCTGCTAGTCAATTGCTATTTGGCTAGCTTCTTGGTGCCTCTGTTCAGTCTGAATTATGGCACAAAGCTTTGATTAATTATGGTGGGACAGAACAGAAGAAAAGCAAGGAGCAATGGTGAGATGACATTTTGTGAATGTTTACATTTGATAGGGTTTGAATGTGGGATCACTGATTGTCACTGTATACATTTTTCCCCTTTTCCTTTTGGGTGGTTTTGGAATGACTTGATTGTCACTGTTTACTGTACGATTCAGAATGGTTATAGTATTCAGATTATGTTATGCTTCTATTCAGAAAGATGTATAATGATCTTTCTGCTGTGAATGGCAACAGGAACAAGTGTCCTTGACAATGGTAACTAGCTTGAAATTGACACTATTACTTTTATGGCAATGCCAATTATGGTGCTTTTTAGGAGAATTGATTTTCTAATTTCATCTTAGGCAACTCAAGATTTTTAAAACTCCATCAATGTGTCTTTGCTAAAATTGATCTATATCTTGTAACTATGTTTCTTATGCTTGGCTAGAGACATTTTTGAATATTTTAAATATAATAAGAAATTTCTCAAAATTTTGGTTGAAAGATATGTTCTTTATTCTTTAGAAATTAGGTTTAATTCTGTTTTCTTAGATAAATCTATATGCTAACATTATAGTCAAAATTCAACAGAGATTTATTTGAAATATCAGACTGTTGTTGTAGTCCATGGTCCAAAATATTCATATTATAATTAGCAAACTTGATTTTATATGTTTTTGATTGCACTTGTAGAACCCAAGGAAGGAGGTAAATGCTATGCTAAAGAAAGAAGCAGAATATTTTGGAGATATTGTCATTTTGCCATTTATGGATCATTATGAGCTGGTGGTTCTCAAGACAATTGCTATTTGCAACTATGGGGTGAGTTAATGAGTTTACTTTTTCCCTTGCTTTTTGGTTCATCATGTTAATGCAGTTCCTTGGTCAGTGTTAAGTAATAAATTGATCATTGTACAGGTTCATAACTTAACCACTCCATACATTATGAAGGGTGATGATGATACTTTCATACGGATAGATGTTGTGTTAAAGGAAATAAAGCGGATCTCTCAGAAAAGACCATTGTATATGGGGAACCTTAATCTCTTGCATAGGCCTCTCAGAAGTGGAAAATGGGCTGTTTCATACGAGGTATAACAACTTTTGGGGCTTCTGATGCATGGTTCTGGATTAATAAAGTTCTCTCTTCTTTGCAAAGCAGTGATACGTTACTCATTTCTTACACTAAACTCATAGTTTGTGGAATCGATAGTGGTGATATGAATAAAAACAAAATATGGACTATTCTAAAGCTGGTTTATTTAAGTGTAAATTTTTATGGATCGTCACTGATGCATGAAAATTTGCTGCACCTGCTTTTCTTTTGCTTGTTTATTACAGGAAAGTCTTTGATGTTCTTGTCTAAATTTGTCCATTGTGAATACAGGAGTGGCCAGAGTACGTATACCCGCCCTATGCTAATGGGCCTGGCTACATAATTTCGAGAGACATCGCAAGGTTCATTGGTTCCCTTTATGCCAATCAAAGCCTAAGGGTGAGAACCTGATACCTTGAGAGAACGTGCATTGCCAATACAGAATTTAATAACATCTGAACCAGATTGTGTTATTGTTGTTGCAGCTATTCAAGATGGAGGATGTAAGTATGGGCATGTGGGTTGAACAGTTCAATGCTTCTATACCAGTACAATACTCTCATAGTTGGAAGTTCTGCCAGTATGGATGTATGCTGAACTATTACACTGCTCATTATCAATCTCCTAGGCAAATGCTTTGCCTTTGGGACAAACTGGCTGGGGGGCGAGCCCAATGTTGCAACTTTAGATGACAAGTTCAGTGGTACGTGTGCTTTGTTTCCCCCATCCCCATTTTGTTCTTTTTATATTGACATTCACCATGGTGAAAACAGCATCTACCGGGGGATTTTGTTAAATGAGTGTATATGTTTTTCTTTTTCTTGCAACCAATTTCTATCATCCACTAGTTTGTCAGGCAGCACGTAAAATGATAAGATTGAAGGACACAATTTTGAGGACTCTTTTTTGTTCCAAGTAAGATGGAAGACATTCTTTTTGGATGTATACTTGCTGTACCTTGAAACTTATGTTGATGCTAAAACAAAGATTTCCTGCTTATTTTCTGGAAAAAAGATTTACTTGAGGCAGAATTTACCATCAGAAGAATTGAAGGTCTTGAGAAATCTTCATCATATCTGCTTCTCCATCTGTTTGACCATTTTCCTGATTCTTGGTGTCAAGGCTTAGGCTTTCATCGAGTTGTCTCATGCTGATAGCTGGTGTCGAATGATCCATGTAATCCCAGTGATTAGAATCTATCAGTCACCTTTTCTTCTGCTCCTAGGACAATGTGGGTGGTCAGAAATCATGTGGATTTGCTTGAATCAGTTCAAAATGTTCATGTTTCAACCAGCAGCTGGGCATCTAAAGATTTATGTTATATCATGCTAAATTTCCATTTTGTGTACTGTGTCAGTATTCATCTACAAAGATGATCCTACATTGTTAGACATGCGTTCAAGATGCTGCTGAGGATAGCTCATTCTAGTTACAGTGCTAAAACGGCATGCGGATATATGTATTAGATCAGATTTTGAACTCCTTATTTTCAGTTAGTGGTGTGGCACAGATCAATTTTTATGGTGTCAGATAAATTATTTATTGTTTATTACATATTGAGATAAAAGATAATTTTCCAAGTTACAAGTTATAGGTTATAGGTTATCCCCTCCCAGGCTAGGTATAAAAGATAATATTCGACGTTACGTGGAGGGACGCTTCTTCCAAAAAAAATTCATATATAAAAAAGACTTTGGTGACTAACTTAAGTATCGGAGGGATTCATTCGAGAAAATTTTCTTGACATTGGTCTTAGTGTAGGTGGCGGCGCCTCTAGAGTTTGACACTTTCACCTTGAAGCCACTTCGGTTATCACCTCGAATATTTCTGTGCTCAGGGTTCTGAATATTGTATCGTATTAGTATACCAAGCTTTGCTCGATAAAGTACGGTATGACATATCAAGTAGTACATCTTAAAATGGCATAAAATCTTCTGAAAATACCTAAAAGTAGAAAAAAATTAAGATAGGGATCTTAAGTTAGAAATAAATATATATTTAGTATAATTTTAGCAAAATTAATGTAAATTAGGTAAGAATAGTATTACATATTTTTTTCGAGCTTTGAGGAGTAACCTTGTGCAAGGTTCAAAATTTTGGTCCATTACAAATAGTCCTTATGTTAATATTGAATTATCTAAAAAAAATATTTGAATTATTATATTATTTTATAGATAATATAAATTTTAAGATTTAAATTAATTAAGTAATCATATGTGTAGATATACTTGATTCTATCACCAAAACGAACAATGGGCCTCCACGGTTGATTGATCGGGGTCCTCAATCATATATATATGCATATCAATATGACATGTTTGTTGGATCTAATCTTGAAATTGATCATATGACATAATGTATTGATACACCGTAAGCCTAGTGCATCAATATGGTGATGATTGTAGGTTGATCGTCATGAATCACGTGTTTGAGGTGGCTCTTGAGGCATATGTATTGATGAATATTAGAGCTTTTACTTTCGCTACTAATCTGTTATTCTGTATCATACTGTTGCTCGAAAAAGTATGATCAACTATCATCGTATTACTTTTGGCCGTAAGATTCTCCATAATATGATGACTGTAAATACGATGAGCTTCTTTCTGTGTCTACATCGTGTAGGCTTTGTCGCATCTACTCAAATTCATCCACTAGCTTCCCCTTCCTCTTCCATGCATAAACTTGACTAGTACCTTTTTGGGGAAGGCTGTGTCTACATCGTGTAGGCTTTTACTTCCCCTTCCTCTTAGGTGGCATGTGTAAAATACTACTCTTTGGTCCACGCACCCTCAAGTTGTGTAGATGAGACCAACAACTACCCGACGTTGTCATCATCATCGGTTAATTACTGTGATCCACATTGTTGTCATGTCTCTGGACTGAGCAAGTTGCTGAATGCGATTGTGAAGGTGTCTTATCGCTTGACTCGATTCTTTCCAATGGTGCGATTGATATTACTGCCTTCCCCTTTGTAAAGGTTTTTGCACTCTGAGCGGATGACCATGATAGTTGGGTATTTGTAGTTCCTTGAGCAATCTAACTCGATGTTTTTCTACTCCTTTGACCACGTTCTGACCAAGGGAGATTTTCCTCCTGTTGGGGTTGTGCTTTCTCTTCTTCTATTGCCTCGGTGATAAAACACGAAAGACATTGAGGATCTCCCACCTCATCAAGTAGAGTATCATCTTGGTTCTTCATCGCTTTGACCCACTCTATCATAGTCTTTGAATCTTCATTGTAGAATTGGAGGTCGATGGATCAATCTATGGTTCCTTTAGCTCCTTATTTGGCTTGTCACACCGCAACCTTAGCTATATGTTATAATGGACATATACTAGTTTCTTCAATTGTCTATATGATAGTCTGTTGTGGACCTTCGTGTGAATCAATATGAATATTGACCAATTATGTTCGCAACCATTAGATGTCATCATTTGTGAAAGCACACAAATGAATGTATAATTATCCCAATATTAAGCTGGTTATGAGTCATACCTATTAGAACTCCTTCTAGCTTAATGAATTATTATCTTCATAATAATTCACTCGACTTATCGACTACAAACGTAGTAGACTACTACGCCGCAGTCCCTATATGATTTAGGAGAATCCAATCCTTTGGACCTATTTATTCTCAGTTACCATGTACCTATAGTCTCTTATTCATCGAATATCTCAGAGACCGTATACCGGGCATGGTATTGTCAGACCCATACGGTTTCTGGTCGAGTCTCGCTATAATCGGATTCTCCAAAAAAACTCTTTCAAAATCCGAATGACCCTAGCTAGGGATTTGTTTAAGCAAGAACACATGAGATATTCCTCTCATGACACCGAGAGTGGAGGATCCTCTATCGACACTCAATAGTCCTCGTAAAGTTGGTTACTACTCTCGATGACCGACTGTGCTAGATCTAGAACTTCCAAGCCTATAAGTCCAATATCAAATAGTAGAGTACTCATACAAAACATCCTTGGTGTCTCAAGTCTAAGAACCAAATACACCACTAGGACAACGGAATCGTTATCTGACAATGAGGTATTCTTAACCATCCAGCATTCCGTAAGCGAATCAATCAGTGAACTCATTCCCCGATGAGCGCCTGCACTATAGCCCTAGTGTCCCCACACGAACAGCTATACGACCAACTGCCTCCATCATATGGACAGGTATATAGCACACTAGTCTGTCCGGTTATCTCAATGTCCCTTTCGAATAACTTATGACCAAGATTATTAAGGATCTATGTTTAAAGATGAATCAGTCTTATTATCATGATCTTATCACGATCTGATTCTTATTGCACAGATCCATGTACATCACAATATATATGCATATATGCAACAAGCAATATAAAGTTATAAAATGTCAAAATATAATAAGCAAAAAGAATGCGTATCATGTCACACGTGCTATCACTCACGTAATTGGCTTGCAAGGCACATATGATTGACAATCTCCCACTTGACCTAAAGTCAATCACATATATGTTTGATCCCCATTAGACCTTTATGATGCTCAAAGACAATATGAGACAACGACTTTGTCAGTGGATCTATGATATTATCTTCGGATGAAACTCTTTTCACTACTACATCTCCTCCGGCCACGATCTCTCTGATCAGATAGAACCTCCTTAGAACA